AAAAAATTATGACAGTTTTAAATAAAAAAAATGTCGAAAATTAGCGATTTCTAAATTAGTAATTTTTTAGAGGATTTCCCCAGTTTACGGGGAACGAGGGAATTTTTTTTCAATTTTCGAGGGTAATGTCGTCGACTAAGATACGATTTGTGATCTTTTGACGTATTGTTCATCAAAATCGGTCCAGGGAGAGCGGAGATTAAGCATTCACAGGCACAAAAAAAAATAAAAAAACATATCATAGTAAATTTAATACCTTCTCAGCTTCGCATCAAAGCTAAAAATAAATTTTATAACTAAGTGACCAAAATTCAAACAACTTTTTTTTGAGTAAAGCGATATCTCAATAATAATCAATATCGCGGGAAAAATGTTAGCAATATCGATGTTGACGAATCTCATTAATATAATATAAATAAATATCTTATGTTTAATACAATTCATTATATATTTATAAAAAGGATAAACCTTTAAGTGAAGGACTTCTTTATTGGTATTCATTTTTTTATTTCAAAATTTTAATTAAGGTAAATTTTTTTAAAGAATTTTATTTTTAGATAGATAACTACAGTAAAAATTGTTGCTGAAATATTAACTATCAAAAAAACCCTACCTTAAATCAACACTAACTTTATTTGCTAAGACTTTATTTTGAACCTTACTCAGTTACATTATCTTGTTGTTTTGAATATTATTAGAGTTATAAATAAATAATTAAATTATTCTCATACACAAACATGTAATTTTTTTAAAAGCCAACTTTCGCCAGGGCCGTATGTATTGTATTTGGAGGACCATGAATATCTAATGTTTTTATGTGTGCAGTTAGGCATCTTGTCAGTATTGTTATGTATTTGTGTCAATGACCTAATGTCAAGTTGGAAGTTTATGTTCACTATAGGAACAGAGATATGAACACTATATTTATCATAACTAATTATAATGATTAGTTTGCGCTTATCAGTCAGCTAAAATTAAAGTTAGCAGACATATTTTATTATCTTAAACAATATGTATTTGGAATTGGATTATAATCAATACGAAACTCCCACACCAAGTGGCAAGTTAAAAGCAATTACACAACGGACAATTTTTTTCTAATAGGTTAAATAATGAGCTCCACAAAATTTGAGCCAAATCCATGAATGTTAACACAATTTCATGAACAAGCAAAAGTTATGGGAGAGAATAGACTCTAACTTCAAAAATTTCAAATAACTTTTTAATAAATTTGATGTTAAGATGTGCTATGTTTTTTTTTACATGTACAAAGGGGTCTCTTATTAATTTTGTTCCATTGGGTCACCAAATGTGTTAACCAGGCTTGAACACCTAGATATATGCCTGTCGTTAGGTATTATTTTTTAATTAACTTAGATAAAAATTTAATATAGCCAAAATCAGCAGAACAATTAAAGGAAAAAGCAAACCATGATTATTTAAATAGGTATAGTTATCAATTCCAACAAAGTTTTTCAAAGACAAATATATATAATATAATTGTGTTGTTAATACTCAAAATGCTTTAAAAAATTTTTTTCTTATCATTATAAAACTAATTACAAATATATAACATAAAATAATGTAGTAGAAATCCTACCACATAAATCCCAATACTAGCCTTCTCTCCTATAAAAATGACTATACATTGGAACATTAATAATAATCCTAAGGTTTACTAATACATAAGGATTATAAGCTCCATAAAATGATTATGCATACAGGCATTAGACATCAAACTATATCCTATGTAGTAATAAATATTACAGTATAGCTAATCCATTAAACTAAAATAAGAGTGATATTATATCTTAGAAAACAAAAAATTAGATACATGTAATGATTGCAAAATTGTTCTAACAAAAAGATCAGAAAAATGTGTATTTTTTTCATAGATTAAGTTGAAATTAAAAAATTAATTGTGATAAATTATAAATAATTCTATAACAGTTCTGATCAGATTCATAGAATTCATTAAATAGATTAAATAATTTATTTCTGAATTATTATTTTAGATAAAATTTAGTGATCTAAATATAATAAGAATTGATCACTTGTTGTTAATATTATTTGAAGTTAAAAATATATTTAAAACTAAAAAAAATGATATACTGTATATATATTTATATCATTTACAATAAGATTAAAATTAAAATTTGCTAATTTTATTAATTTAACAATTTTAAAAATAAAAACTGTCAAATACGTTTTTTTTCTAACATCATTATTTTATTACCTAAATAACTAAGGTTTACCATGAAAGATCTATCAAGTTTTGGTATTTTAACGTGAGAAATTTATAAAAGATTTTTGAATATAAAAGATGTTGACGGAAATATAGACTAACTGGACGTTATTTAAAGGTTATATAAGAATAAACTTACCAAATAAAAATAGTTTGACGATGAAAATAAATAATTTACTTAGAAATCCAGAATATCAAACTGAGAAGTAAAATTAATTGGAGAAATATCAAACAATTCACAATAAAAGGTAACAAAAGACTAAGAAATAAATGAACGTTGCAAAGCTGTAACACTAATTTAAATTTATTAGTTCACGACAAAATTTGAAGAAGGAAAAACCCGCTAAATGTTATTAACCTAAAACTGTTTTTATAGATGTACAAATGTGAAAATGTAACGTCTTGTTAAAAGATCTTTGATCTGTAATGATATGGCTTAATAGATGTAAAAATATGTCATGGAGTAAAATGTTACTTGAAAATATTCTTCCATTGGTAGTCTTAGATGAACTCAAATGCACGACTGTATATCGTCACTAAAACTTACCATTGTAGATAAACAATGTACATCTAAAACGGCCTTAGAAGATAAGGTTGGTGAAATTCGTTCTTATCAATGGCCTGCATACCAAACATACTAAACCGAAAATATTGTCTGTAAAAACATTGTTTTTAGAAGAATTTGAGGTTATACTATATAATGAAATAGATATGTAAAGTAGTTTTATTATATATTTGTGAGTTTAATGTATATATATATTAGCAGGATTATAGATAAGAATCTTAAGTCTTATTTATAATTGTGATATAAATATACAAAATATACCTTTTAAACTCAAATTTCCCTAAAAACAGCGATTTTGCGGATAACATCTGAAACGCTTTTGATTCAATAAATGTGAATATCGAATTCGTATACTGTGTGTTTAGTACACCGAACTTATCTTCTAAGACCGTGATATCTACAACCCATTTTGATATAACCATGCTTATATATAATGCTCTTAACTTTACACCATGTTATCATATAGAATGAGATAATGTTTACTATAAATGTCTTTTTTGTAAACAATCTAAACATAAATTAGGTATTCTGTATTACATTTTCTAACATTAATTATAAGTATTAAACAAATTGCTTAAAGTATGAATGAAATTTTTATTTAAATCTTTGATTTGTATTTATTAAAACTACAATGGCTGCTCCACCTGCTGCATTGGTCAGCAAAGTTAAAAAACATTTTATTGGCATACCGGCTCCTCTAGGATATGTTGCTGGTGTTGGTCGAGGAGCTACAGGTTTCACTACAAGATCTGATATTGGACCAGCTCGAGATGCTAATGATGTATCAGATGATCGACATGCACCTCCTACAAAAAAAAAAAAAAAAAGAAGAGGAAGATGATGATNTACAAAAAAAAAAAAAAAAGATGAAGAGGAAGATGATGATGAGGATTTAAATGATTCTAACTATGATGAATTTAGTGGATATGGTGGTTCTTTATTCAGCAAAGATCCTTATGATAAAGATGATGAGGAAGCAGATATGATTTATGAAGAAATAGATAAACGAATGGATGAAAAGCGTAAAGAGTATAGAGAAAAAAGATTGAAAGAAGAATTAGAAAAATATCGACAAGAACGTCCTAAAATTCAACAACAATTCAGTGATTTAAAGCGTGGGTAAGATATCTAATTCTTATTTTTCTACTTCATATTATTAGATTTTTTCTGTAATAATTCATAATTGGTAACATACTTAGAAGGATGATTGATTTTTTATATGGTTATTTCTATTAATATTGTTCTTAATACATTATGTAGTAACTTAACAATGATTATGTAATCATAAGAATGATTATTTCAAATTTTAAATTATTACTAATGTATAAAATATTTATATTCAACATACATATTACATTTCCATTAAAATTAACTAATTAATATGTTAATTAGTTAATTAGCATATTCATACAATAGAATAAGTGTTGTTGACAAAAAAGTTTCACATTCTTATTGATATCTTGCTCTATTATTATAGTTAAAAACTGAAAAATGATATGTTTCTCATCTCCATTATAAAGTATTTTTTATCCCATATATTATCTTCAGTTAAATGCGGTTGCATTGTGCAAATCTGCCAAATTGTAAGTTATAACTAACCTTAAATAGTTGGGATAGAAACTAAAGAGATGATGATGATACATTATCGTCTACTAGAAATTAAATATGCTGATGTCTTTAAAATGTAAATTAATTATTTATTAATTGTAACTTTACAAAATTAATTTTTGTGAACAGTTCTGAGACTTTAACTTCTTTAAATATATATATTTCTTATTTTTTACTTTTTATATTTTAAGTAAAAATAATGATTAATTTGTTTAGATTAACTATGGTTAGTGAAGATGAGTGGAGAAGTATTCCTGAAGTTGGTGATGCAAGAAATCGAAAGCAAAGAAATCCAAGAGCTGAAAAATTTACTCCACTTCCGGATACTGTACTTTCAAGAAGCCTTGGAGGAGAAACTACCTCCTCTATTGAGTCAGCTAGTGGTATAATGAGTCAGTATCCACATGGAACAGTTACTCCTGGAATGTTAACCCCAACAGGTGATCTAGATTTAAGAAAGATGGGACAAGCTCGAAATACTCTAATGAATGTAAAACTAAATCAAGTATCAGATTCTGTTGAAGGGCAAACTGTGGTTGATCCAAAGGGCTACTTAACTGACTTACACAGTATGATACCAACATATGGAGGAGATATTAATGATATAAAAAAAGCAAGATTATTATTAAAATCTGTAAGAGAAACAAATCCTAACCATCCACCAGCTTGGATTGCTTCAGCACGTCTTGAAGAAGTTACTGGTAAAATTCAAGCAGCTCGTAATGTAATTATGAAGGGTTGTGAAGATAACCCCAAATCTGAAGATATCTGGTTAGAAGCAGCTCGATTACAACCTCCAGAAACAGCTAAAGCTGTTATTGCCCAAGCAGTAAGACATATTCCCACGTCAGTTCGCATATGGATTAAAGCTTCCGATTTAGAAACTGAGACAAAAGGAAAAAGAAAAGTTTATCGTAAAGCATTAGAACATATACCAAATTCTGTGAGATTATGGAAAGCAGCAATTGAACTTGAAGATCCAGAAGATGCCAAAATTTTACTGAGTCGAGCTGTTGAATGCTGTCCGACTAGTGTTGATTTGTGGTTAGCTTTAGCTCGTTTAGAAACATATGAAAATGCTAGAAAAGTTTTAAATAAAGCCCGTGAAAATATTCCAACTGATAGACAAATTTGGACTACAGCTGCCAAGCTTGAAGAAGCAAATGGAAATATTAATATGGTTGAAAAAATTGTAGATAGAGCTATTTCTTCTTTAAGTGCTAATGGAGTTGAAATTAATAGAGAACAATGGATTAAAGAAGCAATTGAAGCTGAAAAATGTGGATCAGTTAAAACTTGTCAAGCTCTTATTAAGGCTATTATTGGTCATGGTATTGAAGATGAAGATAAAAAGCATACTTGGATGGAAGATGCCGATTCATGTGCTAGTCAGACAGCATATGAATGTGCCAGAGCTATATTTAGCCATGCTTTAACTAATTTTCCAAGCAAAAAATCCATTTGGTTAAGAGCAGCATATTTTGAAAAGAATCATGGTACAAGAGAATCTTTAGAATCATTATTACAGAAAGCAGTTGCTCATTGTCCTAAATCTGAAGTACTATGGTTAATGGGTGCTAAATCTAAATGGTTAGCTGGTGATGTCCCAGCAGCTCGAGGAATTCTTTCTTTAGCTTTCCAAGCTAATCCAAATTCTGAAGAAATTTGGCTTGCTGCTGTTAAATTAGAATCTGAAAATTCAGAATTTGACCGTGCAAGGCGGTTATTATCTAAAGCACGAGCATCAGCACCAACACCCAGAGTTATGATGAAATCAGCTAAATTAGAGTGGTGTTTGAATAATTTAGATACAGCTTTAAAAATTCTTGATGAAGCCATTTCTAAATTTCCTGATTATTCTAAACTGTGGTTGATGAAAGGTCAGATCGAAGAACAATTAAATGACATAGATATGGCTCATGAAACATATAATACTGCTTTGAAGAAATGTCCAAATTCTATACCTTTATGGATATGTTTAGCTAGACTAGATGAAAAAAGAAAAATGTTAACAAAAGCAAGATCTGTCTTAGAAAAAGGTCGTTTAAAAAATCCTCGAAGTCCAGAACTTTGGCTTGAAGCTATACGTGTTGAGTTTCGTGCTGGAATGAGAGATATTGCAAACACAATGATGGCTAAAGCATTGCAAGAATGTCATAATGCTGGAATATTATGGTCAGAAGCTATATTTTTAGAAGCCAGGCCACAAAGAAAAACTAAAAGTGTTGATGCTCTAAAAAAGTGTGAACATGATGTTAATGTTCTTTTGGCTGTTTCAAAATTATTTTGGAGTGAACGTAAATTACAAAAATGTCGAGAATGGTTTAATAGAACTGTGAAAATTGATCCAGATTTTGGAGATGCTTGGGCCTATTTCTATAGATTTGAATTATTGCATGGTACAGAAGAAGCTCAAGAGGATGTCAAGAAAAGATGTATTTCTTCAGAACCTCATCACGGTGAAGCATGGTGTTTAGTATCAAAAAACATTTGTAATTGGAGACTTACTACTGAAAATATTTTAATGTTGGTTGCTAAAGATTTACCTATTCCTATTTAAATATAATTTTAAATTCTGATCTAAACATTTAGTGCATTGCTTCTATTATTATTAATTTAATGTAAAATTTAATACAACAATGTATATTATTTTAATATATATATGCATTATAAAATACTGAAGTACTTATAACTATGTAGACTACAATATTTACAATACAAAATTATTTTAATTATTTTATATTTTCTTATTTATATATTGATTGATTTATTATTTATAAATTTTTCTAGGGGGCGTATTTCATAATTTTTGGGGAATTTACTATATCTCAGATATATTAGCTTCGATGCGAAGCTGAGAAGGTATTAATTTTACTATGATGCTTTTTTTTTTTTTTGTGTGTGTCTATTACCACTTTTTCTCAGCTCTCACTGTCCCGATTTTGATGAACAATATGTCAAAAGATCACATATCATATCTAGTCGAAGACATTACCCTCAAAAATTGAAAAAATTTCCCTCATTCCCCGTAAATGGGTGAAACCTCCAAAAAAATTACAAATTTAAAAATCGCTAATTTTCGAAATTTTTTTTACTTAAAATTGCCATAACTTTTTTAAAAATAACCAAATCAATATAATTTTTTTTTATAAAGATGCATGATATAATTACCTTTTATTTGGTATATTTTTTTTATAAATCTGACCCTTTACCAGCCCACAGGGGAGGATTTAAAATGACAACTTTTTCACAAAAAATTAAATTTTTTCAACTTTACTTTTGAAAATGTTCAAGTCTGTCACTTTTATATATATCTTAAATTAAAGCTAATGTAATCAAGGAAAAAAAAAATTTCCAACTTTATTTTGTCTTCACGGTGAAAATGGCTACTGTATGCTATCTTTGTGTTAAATATATAAAATTCTCGATTTTATATTTTACATTTTTAACTTTATAACGCTATAACTTTTTGAAAAATGTATGGATCAATACAATTTTTTTTTATAGAAATAATATTTATATACCTCGTTAATTTGACATATTTTTTTTTAAATTGGACTAGTTCAAATCTTTAAAATACATATAGAAAGTAGAACTTTTTCAACTTAATTTTTGAAAGTGTTCCGGAAATACTGATATTTTTATATGTATCTTAAATTAAAGTTTATGTAATATATTTTAATATTAAAAAAAATTTTGGACTTTATTTTATTTTCACGGTGAAAATGGATACCGAATGCTATTTTTGTGTGAAAATTCTCGATTTTGTATTTTACATTTTTAACTTTATTATGCTATAACTTTTTGAAAAGTGTATAGACCAACACAGTTTTTTTATGAGAAATAATATTTAAATCTCTATTTCATTCGACATACTTTATCTTAATCAGGATATAAATAAGGAAATAGCAGATCATGTAGCTCTTGGAATAATCCACAAATTTTTTAAATAAAACACTATCTAAAGATTTACATCAAAGCGTTTTTAACACGCTTATATTAGTTTCACCTGTATGTATGTATGTATGTAAAGATTTACATGGAATCGTTTTTTTTTTTTGATAGTGATTTTAATCACTGTCAGATATCATTATACTTGATACAACTATGCTACATCACCACTGTGCCGCCACCCCCTTGTGCTTGATTTTTTTTTGTATGTCTGTTAACACTTATTCTTAACTCTCATTAGACCAATTAAAAAAAATTTATCCCCATGTTGTTATCGATCAGTTATCTTATTAGATAAATCATTTACTAGGTTGTAAGTTGGTCAAACATATATGTTTACATTCAAAAAGCTTAATTTGATAAAATTTTAAGGAGGAAACAGGATCAATTTTTTTTGGAAATTTTAGAACGTAAGCGACAAAGTCTAAATACATAAAAAATTACACACAGTTAAAACTTAAATATAGAGATTAAGTGGGCTAATAATTATAGGTTTTATTTTAGCTTCGATGTAAAGCTGAGAAGGTAATAATTTTACTATTATTTGTTTTTTATTTTTTATCTGTTACCATTTGTTCTCAGCTCTCACTGGATCGATTTCGATGAACAATACGTCAAAAGATTACAAATCGTATCTAGTCGAAGACATTACCCTCAAAAATTATAACATTAAAAATCGGTAATATTCCACCTTTCTTTAACTTTTTTTTAAATGGATGAATAGAACACAACATTTTTTTGATAGACACATTTAATTATAATCAAATTTTATAATATACTGAATTGAGTAGATTTGTTTAACAACTTTTGATTGGTTTTTTTTAGTTAGAATAAATCATTAAAATTAATTAAGTTCTGAATATTTCATTGTAGAATCTTTTTTTTGAACACCAAAAGTTACTTAGAAATTATTATTATTTCTATTAAAATTATTTATTATAATAAAAATGCACAAAATAGTGATTTTAACGAAATATTAAACTTTTTTCATAAATTTATTGCAAATAGTAATTATAACATTTTTTGACTGCATACTAATCTTAACAATAGCATTTTTTAAATTATCATATTTTTTATTTAATGATATCAATTTCAAGCTTGCAAATATATCTAAATGTTACGGTAGCAAATTAAACTTTTTTTTACTATAAACTTTCAAAAAAATAGGTTAATAATGACATTTTGAACTGATTATTAAGTTGAAAAAATTAATTTTTTGTAAAAAAGTTGTCATTTTAAATCCCCCCCTATGGGCAGGTAAAAAGTCAGATTTATAAAAAAAANGTAATAACTTGAGAACATTTTTTTTTTTTTTTTTAATTATTATTTTATGTACTCAATTTTTATTGATTAGTAATAATATCAAAAATTAAAAATGCAGATTTGGGAGAAACGCGAAAAGTTGATTTAGAAAGGTATATTTTTGATTCTGATGTATGTTCTTTGGAGTCCAGTTTGAAAAGAATTGCAGCCCTTTAAATTTTTATACACATTAAAAATAAAGAAATATACAACTACGTTATATTTTTATAATTTTTCCGTGTAAATTACAAAATTAAATTATTGAATATCAATTTCATACTAAATTTAATTACTATAATTAGTATTTATTTATATATTATACGTTTAAATCAAAATACTACTAATCAGGATATTATTAAGGAAGTAATAGTCGATGTGGTTTTTGTAATTATCCACCAATTTCTTAGAATTAAACATTATCTAAAGATTTGCATAGAAGTGTTTCTTATGATAGTGTTTAATTTTAAGAAATTGGTAGATTATTATATAGAAATTATAAAATTAATAAAGTAGTTGTATATTTCTTTACTTTTAACGCGCCTAAAAATTTAAAGGCTTTGATGCAATACTTTTCAATAAACACTGTTTGTTACTTATAAATAAATACACTGGACTAAAGGAACTATCATCAGAAGCAAAAATATACTTTTCTAAATCAACTTTTCGTGCTGTTTTCAAATCTACAATTAGATTTTTTCTATCGCTCTAATTTTTGATATTTTTACTAACTACATATAAAATAATAATAAAAATAAGAAAAAATAATTGTTTTCGAATAACTATGATTTTTATTTTTAATATGTTAAAAATATTCAGTTAAAAATTTCATTTTAAACCTATTTTTTGGTTCTTTAAAGCTGATTAAAATATTTTTAATAAAATTTTGAGTAAGTTTATAGTAAAAAAAAAAAAAAAAATGTTGCCATAATTTTTAGCTCAATTGCAAGTGTGAAATTGACATAATAGAAATTTTTACGAGAATTAAAAAAATAGTATATTTAAGATTAATATGCAGTCAGGAAATTTTATAATTTTTAGTTTACAGTAAATTTACCAGAAAAGCTCTATTACTTTTTTTTATTTTTATCGCAATAGAACACTTAATCAGAAAACATAGTAATTATTTCTAAGTAACTTTTGGTATTTAAAAATATTCTACATTTCAAAACTCAATTCATTTTAATGATTTACATTAACTAAAAAAAAAAGTTGTCATTTTGAATCTCCCCCGTGGGCAGGTTAAAGGGTCAGATTTATAAAAAAAATATACCAAATGATAGATAAAGACATCATGCATCTATATAAAAAAAATGATATTGATTTGGTTATTTTTGATAAAGTTATAAGTTTTATACACTGGACTTTTTGAGGGTAATATCTTCAACTAGATACAAATTGTAATCATTTGACGTATCGTTAAAAAAAGTAGGTCAAGTTAGAGCAGAGAAAATAAATGATAATCACAAAAAAATACCTTCTCACTTTTGCATAGAAGCTAATACCTAAAATATAGTAAAATAATTTTAATATAAATAAGAAATTTCATCTCCCGAGGGGCGACTACAGTGATGGGATCCTTGATCTTTATTAAATCTAAATGAATTAAAAATCAAATGAGTTGAAAATTTATTCTAACTTAAAAAGAATTAAGAAAAAAATACAAAAAATTCCTTGCCATACACGGGTTGGAACCTTGTAAACCACAAGTGTTACCAATTCGGCAATTGTACATCGATTGCGTAAACTGAAAAAAATGACAATTTAAACTAATTCAAATTTTTATTTTTCTTAACTCAAGGGTCAATCCATGCGAAATCATCCAGAAGTGGTTGCACGACCACCTCATATTTTTCTTAAATTTTCAGGGTTTATTATTTATGCTAAAATTAGATTAAAAAACAAAAAAACAAAAAAATGTAAATAAGTTTAACTTTCTATGTTATATTAGTTTGATTTATATAATATTTATGAAAATCAGTGTACTCCCCTTGTCATGTATTTAAAATAAAATAAAATACAAAACCCAGAATTTTAACAAAAAAATAGCATATTTTTGAATACGATAGCCATTTTCACCATGAAGACAAATCCAAAGGTCAAATTTTTTTTCTTCAAATTAAAGTATATTACATAAGCTTTAATTTAATATATATATAAAAGAGTCAGTATATCTGGAACCCTTTCAAACATTTAATTGAAAATGTCCTAGTTTCAATATGCATGTTTAAAGTTTTGACCGCCTGTATAAAGAGATATGATCCGATTTAAAAAAAAAGTGTGCAGATGAAACGGGTACATAAAAATTATTTATAAAAAAATAATATTGATCGATACATTTTACCAAAAGTAATAGCAATATAAATTTTAAAAAAATATAAAATCAAGAATGTTTTTACCGAAATTGTACGTTTTTCTTTAACTTTGATGTCCGTTTTCACCACAAAGACAAGTCCAGAGTTCAAATTTTTTTATTTAAATTAAAGTATA